GATGAGAAGACGAAGACAAGAACCACACTGAACCTGTGTAACCGAGGCCCAAATAAGGATCTAAAAGAGCATGATTTTGTTGTAGATCAGGTTCTCCAGATGCCAAGACAGCGTTTAGCATGGAGGCTGTTTATTAAGGACTGCCTTTAGGATCAACACCTGTTGTGGAAGGAAGACACAAGCGCTGGACCAAGAAAGGCCCTTCCAATTTGTCCCTACCCGGGATGAAATGATCAAGCTTTTCATTGCCTCCTCCCTCCAATCAGTCCACTGCTTTGGAACAGCTCCATGAAAGCTGTGGTCTTACAAGACGGGGTGTCTGCAGCTGGGGCGCTATGTGAAGGCACTGACCACTGAAAGTTCCCTTGCCCCGTAACACCCTCAGAAGCAGTGGTATCAAGTCCTCTAATGAAGCAGTTATCTGGACAAGAATCCTGATGTCCACTACTGACTTAACGTCACACGAGGTCAGACAATTAAGTTTGCGAACTCATCCTAGAAAAAGTGCTACATACCTCGCTGAATATCACTACAGTCACCTTCAAAGTGCTCCCCTTGGGAGGCTATGCAGCCACACCAGCACCTAGTCCACCCTTCAAAGCAATTTTGGAACTCTTTTTCTGGAATGGCCTTCAGAACTGTCACTGTATTACCCCTGATGTCCTGAATGTCATCAAAATGTCTTCCTTTCAATATTTCCTTTATCTTTGAGTGAAGAAAGAAGACATTGGGGGGCCAGATCATGTGAGTAGGGAGGCTGTTCCAATACAGTTATTTGTTTACTGGCTAAAAACTCCCTCACAGACAGTGCCGTGTGAGCTGGTGCCTTGTCGTGACGCAAGAGCCATGAATTGTTGGCGAAAAGTTCAGGTCGTCTAACTTTTTCATGTAGCCTATTCAGCACTTCAAACAGTAAACTTAGTTAACAGTTGGTTCAAATTTATAATGAATAATCTCTCTGATGTCAAAAAAGGTTAGCAACACGGTTGCAACAAGCTCGCGAACTTAATTGTCAGACCTTGTACACTGTACTAAATGGAAACTTTTTCTAGGTCTTCAATGGGTCCCATTGGGAAAAGCATTAAACCACTAACTATGCTTAGGGCTGATGCTAACTAGGTGAGTGTACACAGTGTATTTAGCAAGTTGATTGACCTGTTTGGTTCTTCATTTTCTAATTTCATTTGAAAGTGGTTAGATATGATAAGACAACCTCCCATTTAAAACGCCACGGATAGTAATGGGAATATAAGCTCTTTGCCCATGGGCATAAATATCTGTTTTTATATCATGCTTCCTCTCATGCTGCCCTTTGCGTTCTGTGCTTGCCATGCTCCTTTTTCTGCCTCGGAGTTTCCACACTCATCGTCTCTCTTATACACTGACCACAATATATCACATGACTGACCCCCTTTCCTCTGTCAGGTGATGGCACTAAGGTGATCTCAGAGGTCTCCACAATCTAAGTATTACCTCCCTGCCTAAGCCAAATGTCCTTTCTATTAACTGATTTTCTTATCTTGGTAACACAATGATCTCAGATCATCTTGTTTACATAAGAATCTAGTATTCACTGCTGAATCCCTAGCACTTACCAGTGCCTGGCATTTATGTATTTAATAATTATTCCTGTGAAAGAATGAATGCAGGTAGTGAATGAGTATTTATGATTTGTATGATTTTAAATACACATCAGAAACACAACAATGGCAAAATTAGTTGTCTGGGGGAAATCAATTCATTCTATATTTCTGAATAAATTTGAATAAAAGAAGGGACTGCTGCTCTCCATCATAATATCAATATTTTCATTAAACAGGCTAAGGTATTTTTATCTGTATCTTCCTAAAGGACATAAGATGTACAAAATGAGTATGTTGCCGTTTCCACAAACAGTATACTGTTCAATGTAACAAAACTGCTAACTGTGTGGGAGACATTCCATCTTCTGGCTGGTAAAACATTTTAAGGAAAAAAATGTTGAAAATTCTTAAGAGTAACTTCCCAATTTTACATTAAAAAACAAGCTTATGATAAAGAAAGTCTGTGTAAGAGAGACAAACAAAAACAAGCTATAAATTAGGTCACTAGACTTACAATAATATTTTTGCAAGAAGCCTTTATAATTTTTGGCTAGCTTTTAAGCTAGGAATATAAGATGTCCCAGGAGATTAACTGAGCGCAGGAATTCAACCTCTGACAGGGTCAAATGGAATGTCCTTTGTGATCCTGGCTAAACATTCACCCTTATACTCATATATGGGTCATTCCATTTATTTAAGTCTATGCTTTCAATGTGACATTAAATACCTTATTTTGAACTTGGCAAGGTATTAGATTCTTATTTTCATCTGCAGCTATTTCAAGTTATAAAGTTCTACACATATTTTCTTGTCTCTATTAGGGAAAAATTATTTTATTTACCTAAAACTCTCTTTCTATTGGTTCTTTCTCTCAGCTCTGCAGTTATTCTAGAAATTTGGCTCTTGGTGGAAAATGCCATGTTTACTCTACCCACACCATTTATTTTCATGAGGATCTGATTCTATTGTCTTTCAAACATCATCTTTTGAGATCAATGAGGAATTATGAGTTACAGGAAAGCCTGGTCTAAGAAAGTAGGTTTTATTATAGAGGCCAGAAACACAGTAATAACTGGGATTGATGTCAGGATCATAAATTACAAGCAGTATCTGAAGAACTGATGCTATAAAAGAAAGACATCTTACTATCTTATGACGTGTAGCAGAAATGAATATAAATAAATCCTAAGATGATTTTTAAATGCATTTGGCGTGCCAAATTTTAAATAGTGATTTTAAATCAATCACTAACTGAAATTAACTAGTTTCTCTAAATGATTTGGCACTGTCCTAGTCTATGGAAACATTAACTTGAAGAAGGCTTAAAAAAAAAAAAATTAAAAAGGACCCCTGAATGCAGGCAATAACTTTCAATAATCATTTTCACACAGAAACTAATTCTATGTTGTGCCACAGTCTAGCTTGTTTTATATATTACTAACATAAGATGTTATGTTAAATAACGTATTAATTCAGGGGGAAAAAAACTGAATCTGGACCTCTGTCATATTCTACTGGGTTGTTGGAAAAGTCATGATGCATTTTTGCAATGAAAAACATAGAAAAAATATGTCATGACTTTTCCAACAATCCAATACACTCAAATTTTAGAAACCTTACAGAATTAAAAATGTCTTCCAAATGAAATGTCAAGATAATTATTTATTTCACCCAACTAATACTGTAAGAAGGCTTGAATGGCATCGTTACTAGCTTCAAGGAAACAGAAAACAGGTACAAAGCAAAGTTAAAGGCAACTTTATTACACTTTTCCAAACTTCAAAATGCATTCATTCATTGTTGCATTCAGATCTAATATATAATACATTATATTACAAGACAGAAAGCATTTCTGATCAGATATTTACCTTGCATGTACTGCCCAAAACAGAGCTTCCTAGGAATAGCAGCAACACACAAGAGTTTATACCATTAAGTAAAATATTTCTATGATGTCGCATAAAGGATCATTCATATTTCAATTTATGTTCATTTCCTCTGATTTAGAACAAACGAAGCTATATTTTCTATATCTTACTAGTTAATGCTTAGGAATATTTCCTTTGGTAGAAAATAAGATTTTTTTTTTTTTAATTAACCAAACCAAAAGAACACTGTATTTCCCTATTGCAAATAGGGACAGAATTCTCTTCTTTCCTTTGTTAGGAGCCAAATCTGGGCTCCCTCCTCTCCCTAGAACCATCCTGAATAGTCCCTGCTTTAAAAGATACCCAAATCTATAATAAACTCTATTCTAATAAAGTCTTCTTGTTTTATCTTGCCTCTTCCTATTTGCTTACTTAGAATAATTTACAACCCACTTTTAAAATGACATAAGAATGAAGTTAAAAATACTCTTGGGAAATACAGTAACATACAGGAAGTATTTTCCAAATTAGACAAGAACATTATTTGCTCACCTACCTCTGCTTCAAACAACCCACCCAATTCAACTTACGGAAAGAATTCCTTTTCTAGGGTTACTACCTTAGTAACAGTGGAAACAGATGTAACTTCACTGACTAGATCTCGTCCCTTATATACTCTCCTGGTTTAACATTTGTGAGCTACCCACTAGCACAGGACATGTTCATCCTCCTCATCTTCACAACGGCAGGAAATGGTTAGGAAAGTATAGAAAAAGTTCTATTTTTCATAAGGCAAATTTAATACAGATTCTGCTACGAAGTGGGAAAAAAAGAACAAGTGAATGAAAATATATGTGCTGGCTGCTTGAGGGGGCTCATACATCACTGCACGTTAAGAGCACGCGCTGAAACTTCATGGTGCCAGTCACGTAATTTTGTGTATTTGGGACTAAAGACGTGAAGGGGTATCTTTTCCCTGTGGAAATAAAAAAGACAAAGAAAAAAAAAAAGAAAGAAGAAAAAAAGAAAAGTGATAGGAGAGTCGTAAGAAAGAGAAAGTTTCTACACTTCGTACATCATGCTGAAAACATGCCTTTTAAAGCTTAATTTCACATAGCTGTCTTATTTAATAGCAAAAGATTTTAAGGGTAGAGCATTTTTCAGAAATACAGAAATGAAACTATAGAGCCCTTTCGGAAACATCAATTTTTATGCCCGAAATAAAATGACTGCAAGACAACACACGGACTCATCCACAGAGGTCTGTAATGTTAGCAAAGCATCCCCAGATGCACCCTCGGCCCACGTATTTCCATACAAAAGGAAATAAGACTTAGACATGAAATCCAGGCAATATCCACTAATTTTAAAATCTGTAAGTTGTACATTTAAGACCCACAAAAGGCACTCAAATTAAATGCTTAGCTTCTAGCTGCAAAGACAAAATGCCATACCATTACACTTGAGAACGTGAAAAACCAATTGAGACCACTCATGAAAGGAAAGCATTCAATTTATATATTAAATTAAAAAAAAAAGGACAACTTACTTTGCCTTCTTTGTATTATCAGTTTCTGATTCGTTCACTGAAATATAAGCAAATCCAGTATTAGTTCCTTTTTTAACTTTAAAACCACGTAAGCAATTACATGTACCAATCACTACCAAATGCTAACGCTGCACAAAGCCACTAAAAAAAATTCCAAGTCATCTTGTCAGTGGCTGTGGTATACGATTAATATAATCACTATTACTGCTACTGCTGCTTCAACACTTTTCCACGGAACTCTCGAGGGCTGCTTTCTTATTTACAACACCCATACGTATTATGCATGGCATAACTAAAAAGCAAACTGTCTCAGAAAAATTATTGTTTTCCAGTCATTGTCTATCCGTCCAAATGCTACTCTCTGTGGCAAACAACGTTCACCTATGAGACTCCCTGGGTATTCACTTACGATGTTCGGTCCCAGTGATCTGGGCCAGGATGCGGAAAGAGCGAGACTGGGTGGTGCCAGTCCTCGGACGCCAGTCTTCAGTGTCCTCAATCAGCCTCTTCTTGCTGGCGTCACTGTGAGTGGGTATGTGATAAAACTCTGTATTACGCTCCACAATGTGTTTTCTCGGTGGGCTACAGTTAAGAAAAAAAAAGAATTTAAAAAATTTTAATTATATTAAGGATAAATATCCTCTGCCCAATTATTTATAATGTATACATTTAATCCTCAGTGTTCTTCTTGTATCCTTTTGCAAGCATACACAGCCTCAATTTTTTTAAAAAACAAAAGAGCATCCTTCTAAAATGGAGTAGACTAAGTTTTAAAATTATTTTTAAAAGTACGTGTATGCTAATATAAAATAATAGTGTTAAGTATCTATTCAACAGAAATGTTACCGTTTCGGCGGGATTTTCCTTTTAAGTGACAGAAGAAGGCAGCAGAAGAGAGATTTCCAACATGAAGAAAAGGAAAAGATTAAGAAAAGAAGGAAAATAATGAGAAATTTGAAAGTTCACCAGAGGTAAAATAAAACAATTTGAAATTACGTACTTGTATTATTCATCTAATGCCTAACAAAACACAGAAATGGACTATATTCGCAGCCACTATTAAATAGCAATATGCCACTAAGATATATTAGCTGTCACAAAATTAAATGATCGTATCTTCACTGGGCCCAGGAACCGAGGATGGTTTAGCACAGGCTGAACCAGGAATTCCAAACAGTTTTGAAAAGGGTGAGAGCTGTTATTTTCCAGTTTTCTCATTCGTGTGTACAGACTTTCCTCATCCTGAACAAAATTGTGTGCCGGATCAAAAGTGAGAAAGAGCTACGGTATATCACAAACCGATAAAACAGTTACCAAAGGACCAAGGTGTAAACCCTGGCTCTCTGACTTTTCAGATGTGTGATTTGGACAAGTCTATCTCACTAAGCCTCAGATTTTTTCATTTATAAGACAAGGCTATCACATATAAAGTCACACTGTCCTGAGTATTACATGAAATCATATATGTGAAAGGGATTTGTAAACTACAAAGTTGAAGAGTTTGCTAAGAACATCCATTTTTCTCTTAATAAATCATAAATATTGGGCAATTCACAAAGTACATTATTTTAACACTTGAACCTAAGATTTAGTGAACATAATACTTTTTTCCATCTCTCCTTCCTGCCCACAAAATAGGATAAATGTAAACTTTTGGAGGCTGTGAGTTCCATGTCAGAAGCGAAAAAGGGGCCTGAGTCTGGTGGCAGACAACTGGCCCAGGATCCAAGCAGAGAAATTCCCTAAGCGTATCAGATGTGGGCTGCAACACCAGAGAGGTAGAACTCACTGCTGGAAAATCACAGTGCTATCAGAATTCCTGCTATCAGAATTCATGACTACTGCCATTTAATAGTTGCACTTTTAAAGCTGTCTCCATACACTGAAAGAGTTTGTGCCCAGTGAAGAACATGATAGAATTAACATTAACACTGGCTTTAGAGACAAATAATAGCTTCAGGCACTACCGCCTCCATTCAGTGTGTGTTTCATGCAAGTCATTTAATTTCTCCAAGTGTAGACTTTTCCCACCTGAGAAGTAGGGACTGCATCTATCTTAATGGGTTGTTTTGAGAAATTAGATAATGTATGTAAAGTGTTTCCACAGTACCTAATGCATAGTAATGATTTTATAATTTTTTTGTGATTACTAGAAAAATTATTTGTAATACCTGTTCTGATTTTGCCATGCAAAATCAGTAATACCTATTAATATAATTTATGGTAAAATTTTAATATTCCAGAAGTGAAATATCTAAAAGATCTTTTACAAATATTGAACGAAACCTAATCCTTTTTAAAACAGACAAAATTTTTAAAACTTAGAAAATAGGCATAGATTACTTTACAAACACACTGTCTCTGGCAGGTATAAATTCCTAAACAGACAATACTTTAACTTATGCAATTACTTCAAAAAAATTTATGTTAACTACTAAAACTTACAGTTTTAAATTTCTCTTTAATGAACCTGTGTAGTTTACTCTTAAAATGATGCCAATTTCAGGTATAAGACTATTTTATCATCTACAAAAAAGATCTGGTCTATAAAACAGCAAAACAATAGTGTCTAATTTACTAAGAATAGTAAAACGACACCACTTAAGAATATTTCCTAGCTATCATACACTTGCAAAGTTTAGTACCCCTGGACTCTCTGTGACATTAGCCACATCAAAGGTCTTGCGTTAAGTGATATGAAGTTTCTAAACATTTACTTAGTGTTTTCTGGCTTTGAAATTCTAGATGCTGATGACTATGATTAAAGATAAGAATAATCTCAATGATTTTATTTTTTTTTAAAGTACTGAGGATAGAATATAAACTTACTTATCAAGAACAAATAATTTATTTCAAAATACAGACATTTAAAATCAGCAAGTTTATTCAAATTAAAAATAAAATACTAAACAAGGGAGGCTCAAACTGCATCTCCAATTGTAGTATACATTGTCTATAATAATTAACTATCTCCCTAAGGTTTAGCTTATTAAGTTTTCCACTGCAGAAGTGTGGGTGTTTTAAACATACCCACTGATTCATATGAAGTTCTCTAGCATGAAAAATGTTTCCTGGCTCCTTAACATATTTGAAAATTCTTGCAAGAAGAAGATACTAACAAAATTTGTTGGTGGTGTTAAATTGAAAGGAAGATGGAAAGTTACAGAGAGACAATGATGAAAATTACAAAAGTAACCACTGATTAAGTACTTACGTGGTGCCAGGGTTACTGGAGAAAGAATAATACACACAAAAAAAAGATGTGATAAAGTAGAGAAGACATTGATGTTCCCAGGATGATGTAAAACAGACAAAGATGGGGCCAAAAAAAGAAAAGAAAAGAAATGAAATAAGGAAATTCAAAACAACGAATTTACATAAAGATGTTACACAAACATCATGCTTCAAAATAATCATGTAAATGCAGACAAACAAAATGAGTGTTAGTCAAAATTCTGTTATACTTTCATCTGTGTTTTTGTCTGTTTCCAAAACACTGAAAAATACTTGATATATTCATGCTAGTTCAAGTCTCAAGTTACTAATATCAAGAAAGATCCACTATTTTCAAAAGTTTTGTAGGGTTTTTATAAAATTCATTTTAGCATGAATCCAAATTCATATCATGTTCCTAACAAAAGGCAGAAATTAAGTAGATATAAGATGTAGAAACAGATTGTTTTAGAATCACCTTTAAAATCAGAGCAGAATAAGACTCTTACATAATGTAAGTGGTATATAGTCATCTTCTCACATAAATTATCCTGAATCATATATAAATGAATGATAAACTAAAAATTTTCTTATTTTTTAAAAATGCAGTGGTTATGATGCAAATATAGGAAGCTCAGAGGGTCACAAATAATGGGCTATCCTTCAATTTCCATACTCTTCCGTGTCCATCATTACCACCATCCTCATCCACAAGTAAATCTCAGGAAGTTTAGAACTGATTTGCATGAACTCCATAGCTCTGTATTATCAGCGATCTCATTATTACCCTGAAAGGCATGCCTAATATGATATAGTAAAGGAACTAAGTTAACGACATCTGAACAGGGAAAACCTCAAAACATAATTCACTCACATAGCCTATTAAGAATCATTTCAAAAATACAATTGACCCTTGAATGTGGGGGTTATGGGTGCTGACACCTGTGCAGTCGAAAATCCACATTATAACTTTTAACTCCCTCGCAAAGTGTGCTGTTCCGGGGTATCGGCTGGCGATTGGTCCCAGGACCCACTCAGGCACCAAACTTCACGGATACTCAAGTTCCGTATAAGATGACCCAGAACAACACATACAGTTACCCCTCTGTATCTGTGGATTCCCAACCATGGATTGGAAATACTGCTTCCACCTGTGGTTGGCTGAATCCATGGATGCAAAACTCAAAGGTAGGGGGAGCTGATGGTATATTTATTGAAAAATTCTGTATATAAGTAGACTGTGCAGTTCAAACCTGTGTTGTTCAAGGGTCAACTGCATATTCATATTCTAGTAAGGACAAAGAAGACTAAAGTATAAACTCTACTTTGTCAACATACTGTTGAATCAACCCTTCCGTAATAAAGTTTAACATGAGTAACTAATAATTCATTATCAACATAGTGAGAAAAGCTGCCTACCGGTTTTAATAATACCACTGTGCAGTGCAGCTATATTTCCAAATGTCAAAGTCAGTTTCGTCAACTCAAGTGAGGGCTCAGTTTCACTGAATGGGGGTGGGCGAAGGAGTAAATTGATCTCAATAGTTTGCCAGTATTTATTCCTCTCTCGCTACACTGCAAAGCATTCCCTCCTCAGCTTTGCTCTTTAAGAAGTAGGAAACTATTGGGTTGTCAGAAAAGTCATGACATATTTGTACAATGAAAAACATAGAAAAAATATGTCATGACTTTTCCGACAACCCAAAAGTTTTTCAAAATTAACCTCCCCTGAACATGATAGAATTTTAGATGTATATTTAAACATACTTAAATGTTACAAAGTTTCAGGAAAAAGTTTTATGTCATCATGAAGTTGGGGAGAGTGTTCTATGATGTGAATAGGGGGTTGATTGGTTTCAATGTAAAGATGTCAATTTGAATATGCCAAATAGTTTCATGCATTTTTAAAAAGATGCCCAAGTGGAACAGCCCATCACACACCACAATGGCATCTGTGCCAATGTGACAGTCAGATGACCTGGCTTGTCACCCAGGATATGATGCCCACTTCCCCTCTACCCTGGGCAAGTTGCAATCCATAGAAAGAAGCCTCTTTTTCCTCAACAGTGCAATGGATCATAATTTCTTTGTCTTTCAGACTTCTTCTGTCTAACATATTTATTTGCAGGCCCTCTGAAAACTATACAAACACATGTTTGTTGTTAGGACAGATTTCTAAACCACTCAAAAAAAAAAGACACATACTATATCAAACCCAACAGTAGTTTATGCACATTATGTATTCAAATAGCCTCAAGTCTATAATTATTAAAAACAAATATGAATTCGAAGGAACAGAAATAAGCCCAGGTCACAAACAAGTAATATAGAAGAGGGCACACCAAAATTTGACTTCAAAAATCGTAGGCTCCAATCTTAGCTCTATGATTTACAAACTGCATGACGTGAGAAGATTAACTCACCTCTCAGCATTGTTTAAATGAAAATTAAATCACAAAATATACTTAGTAATACCTAACACAATGTACAGTGATACCTAACAAATTAATCTGAATTTTAATTTAAAAATACATATATATGTTTAACTGAAATGTTCAAATTTATTTTTCTAAGTCCCATTTTTCCCCCCTTTACAAGTCAACTGTTTGTTACATTGGAATCCAGGAACAAGTCAAAGCTTTGTATATAAGAATTGAACTTTAAATAGACAAACAAATCAGAGTTTGGGATTTTTCACTAGTACATTGGGGTACACTATTCCTATGTGTATATAACCTGAAACTATTCCATTAGTGAGACCACATCAGCCACACTGGAATGAAGGTTCTCTAATAATTCAATGGTTAACGCTCTGGAGTGTGTCTAAGACAGATAGTCCACATTTCCAATTCTACTCTATAGGGTATTGATAGAGAAATTTCAGCACAAGCTCAGAACAATCACAAGTTAATTAACACAAAATTATTTTAAATTCTTATCTAATGTGACTTTTGTCTGTTTTTAAAGCTAGTCATCACCAGCCAAAGTACTGTCAATACCAATAATCACAAAAGTGAGGTTTTAAAGTTACACCACAATGATTCTCAATGCCTACTCCAACTTCCTGTGATATTTCATAAGTTGACAATTATCTCTCCTAACTAATTTCAAAAGTATATAGACCTTCAATCAGCCAGTGAGACACAACTGCACAGAGAGGTCTAAACCTTCCAGCAACATCGAAAAATCAAAAACACTGGGAAACACTTGTATTTTTATATGAATTTGGAAATCAACTCAGTTTTATATATGCCAGTCACTTGTGGTATATGTTTATGCTTTCTCTGTCTTGATCTGCTAGCAGCCTAAACTGAATCACAATACATTCCCCAAGCATTACCTTTTAAACCAGTGCACAGCAAGCCCCCCATTTATTTCATAACAAAAGTTAAATACTAATATTTATTACCATAAAGCAATTCATCGTCATATAGCAATGCAAACCAAACTTATGAAAAATATTTAATGCGGTTATTCTAAAATATGGCCGTTTTGCAAAATTTAACTTAATTTTGCAATAATCGGGCATTCATGCTGTTTACTCATATATAAATCACCATATTTCCTCTCCAGTAATGTGGATACTAACTTTGTCACTTGTGTTTTCTGCAAAGAAAAAAGCATTTAGCAATATTACTACCACATCATTATATTTTATATCTTCCAAGGCCAGGTTCTTCAAAATACCACATAGGAACTGTTAGAAGAAACTGCAGACCAAAGAAACTGAAATTAATAGACGATACATGAAAGACTTACCTCTTCAAAGCAGTGGCACATTATAATGCAAGGGCATATGGAAAGGAAAAAGGTAAATCACTTAAAATACTTGACGCAAATTAGCTTCTCTTCTAGTTTGGAGTATAAAGTCCCATTCTGCTATAAATAGAGTTAGGAGAGTACTAAAAAAGCAACAAGCCAAGACCAATAATTTTTCTATGTAGAAGTTTAAAATTTTCTTAAAGTGCCTTGTTCATTATTATTTATAAGGAGCAGGAATGCTTACATCATATTATTGAGAAATTTTCTGAAAATATCAACATAATTATAGATTTCATACTTTTAGATAGGATGAGTAACTATTTCCCAGTAATGATACATAATTAATAAGCACTTCTTTTTATCCTAGGTTTATTAATCCTATATACATTTGGGTGGGATGTCTATCAAACTGGTAAATTCGCCAGTTACTTTAAATCACTTAAAACCTAAGTCCACTGCTTTGAGGAAAAAGATCACTTATGCATTTAACTTTATATCCTTCTGAACTCTTAAATTTTTGGTTACTGGCATATATTATTTTAAAAATAAAAAGTCATTAATAGACAGTGACAACTCTCAGCTTTGAAAAGAGTTCTGTTGCAGATATTTTATAACTTTATAAAAATATGGGAAATTTAATAGTCACATTATTAGTAAAAAGCCTGACAGTAATTTTAGAAAAACAGTTTGGAGCCTGACACAGGAAATGCATTGGTGAATATCACAAAACACCTACTCTTCAAAATGACACATCACTGACAAATAAATGTGTGATTTACTTTTCATTTCCCTAATCTAAATGTAGTAAGAGAAAGGGCACTGCAAATTTTAGAATTTCAGACACCACACTTTGTTTTCAGGGTAATCAAGTTTTCATTGTCCTAACATCTGGACAACATTTGAAATCAAGCTATTTTTGAATACACCCAGTTTGCAGATGCGAAGCAGTAACTTGCTTGTTAATGATGCAAAATATGTAATAATTGCTTTTCTCCTGAATCTTGCACAGTGCTGGACACCAGGCATGTGCTCAGCAACCACATGGCAATTGACTAAGAAGCCATCAGAAAGGCCCTGTAACTATACTACTGCCTATAGTTTCTGTCTGAAAATAATAAGCTTTAAATCATTTCAAGTTTAATCAGCAAAGCTGTACTTATAAAACACAAAATTTAAGCTTGGTATTTTCAACCGTTTTAAGTGTAGTACTTTTCCATAATCTCAATTTGGTTTTGCCTCTACAATTTTCCATTAAGAAGACTGCCATATAAAATGTTAAGAAGTGGTAGGTAGTAAGGAGACAAGAGTTTAGCTCAAACACTTCCTTCAATGGACTTTTTTCTATTGAACCTGAAATTTAATAAGCATAGTAAACTTCGGCTTTTAGTTTTCTGTGTGGGTAGCATTTGACAGGCAGCATCTGTCTTTTCAGAATATGTACTTTGATTGCTCTAAAACCTACTGTTTTAAAATGGACACACACACACACACACACACACACACACACACACACACACACACAAAATACAACCAAGCACACCTCAACAATACATACTATTTCTCTTCCTCACATGAAAAAAGAAATAACATTCTTTGAAGGACACTAATTTTCCGCAATATATACATCAAAACTTGAAAAAGCCACCCATAACCACAAAACCATATGTGCAGCCCAGTAGCCGTTCTTCCAGCCCTCCTGCTCTCTTTCGCTCAGCAGCAGCCTGGAACCCTGCCATCTTCTTTCTCAAAGCCCCAAAGTTGCCATGGCAGCAGTGCTACTGCAAGTCCAGTCCCTTCATTCCATGAATTAACATTCGGAAGGGATTATCTCAGAAAGAACCTATCCACACAATTATTTTAATTACATTTTCCTGGGAACTGGCATCGGTAAAAACCATCACGCATGCAGATTATTTCCCCCCTTTTTTTCCCTTTTAAAATACATTTGTGTCACAACAAATCTAATCAAAACGAGTTTACAAAAATGACTTTGGTGTAAACTATGATCAATGAATTCAAAAAAATAAAATAACCATCTATAAATGAAAGCTGCTGAAAACAGACTCCAACCAATTATTTTAAATGTACCCCAGAAAGGAAAAATTATAAGGAACAGATTTTCTGCTAACATTACATATTTAGTGTCCATTGCTTTAAATCCATTCACTTTAGGAAAATCTTCGCAATGAAAACATTCTCTAATTTGCTTCTGAGGTTTTTCAAGTATCCCTTGATGTTACTGTTCTGTCATTACTGTTTGCTTTTAAAGACTAAATTCTAGCTTAAGCTTATCTGAAAAGAACGTTGCTAGCTCTCTGACCTAAGCTAATGCATCACAGACACATGAGTCAAAACTAAATTTGTCTTGTCTCTTTAAGCCTAATTCCTAGAAGAAAGCTTCTTACAAACTCCTCATTTCCTCCCTCCTTGGGGTGCACTACATAAGCTGATACAACTGTAACCACTCCGTTTAAACTTTTGGTGGCTAATAAAAGGATGGAAAGATTGAGAAAGAAGGATTCAAGACTTGCCTTGCATTATAAGTGCCAGCTGCTCCACGTTGTGCCAGGACTTGGAGAAAAAGACTTACAGAGTATGTTACATGGTTCATAGCATGTCAAAATGCAAAATTAGCTTTTGCTGAACCTATAATTGCCTTGCAGAAAGTGCTGCCTGTATATTATATTAGCTACATGTTAATGAAGCGAAGAAACCTTCATCTCCCTTCCGTCAAGAATAGCTGATCTGGGGGGGGGGGGGGATTTTGATGATGCCATGTCCTGGAAATTGCCTGCAAAAAAGAGTTTGGATAAGAGCAGAAAGCACCCATGGCCACCTACCCATTTTGCTGTTTACTGTCCCCCTGGGATCCTCTTCTCTGTCCCTCTGCTAGCTCCTGAGCAGGCTCGGAACACAGGCTGGTGACTGTGGGCTGCCGTGGGACATTAACTGCAGGTTTACCAGCGCTCAGGGCAGGTGAATGCTGGTCAGCACTAAGATGGGCACTAGCATGCAGTCCAGGTGCAGTGGATGGGGGAGGGATGACAGCAGCCACGGGTGAAGAGGAAGCATGGGATGAAGTGCTCGCGTGTGCTGGGGTGAAGGCGGACGACGGTGATGGGATGGATGTGACTTTGGGTGAAGACACAGAACCAAAGGGCCGTGGTGCCTTATTGTAAGCCATGTTGGTTGTGGAAGTGACTTTGGACACAGCAGGAGATGGAATGGGCACGGGTTTAACTACTTCTTTAGGTTCTCCCTATGTGAAATAAAAATAAACACACAAAAAACACACCAAATACATGCAAAACAGATTCACTGAAAAGAACACACAGCTGGCTTTTAAAAAGACAAATGCAATCATGTTAGCAGCCCAAACTTGACATGGTTTCAGATAAAAACAATGAGTTGATATAGCATAACATGCATGCTAACTGTTCCCAACATGCATAATACAGATGCACACACTGAGTATATAAATATGTAATTTTTTTTTTATAAAAATGAAAGGAGGTTCAAAATATTTAGGAAATAGAGCACGAAAGCTATCAAAAAGCCTAAAGGTCATCATAAGTGTCAATTTAGACATATTCCAAAGGAAATAATTTTAATTACCCCATGATAAATAACACATTGCCAACCAAAATGTTTATTTTAAAATATTCAGAGTCTCAAGTACAATTCCATCTTTCAAACATGTTTAGTTACTCTCCAGAGTATAATTACTTGATTAATGCAGAAACAGCCACACATTTTTAACTCTTCAATTAAAAATAAAAGGAATAAGATTATTTTGATCTAACTCGGAAATGTGCGTACTCTATTTTGAATCAAGAAACTGCATTTTTAAAAAATCAACAAAAAAGCAAATGAACAACAACAACAACAAAAATCAATAGTTTCTCTTTCCTGTAATCTACCAGTTTCTCTCTCTGGAATGTTTTGAGATATCATTTAGGGAATAAACAGGAGTAAAATTCTTTCCCTTTTCCAAAAAAAATATTTAGTAGTTTTATGTGGAAAAAAAATTATCTTAGACATTTCGTCACTGCTATTAGCCAAAGGAAAAAAAAATGACAGTAAGAAAAATCAATTCCTCCTAAAATTAACAGAATTTGTTAATTTAAAAAATTTAAAATTCCTATTCCAAAACAAGTGTAAAGTTTAAGAAAAAAACCAAAACAGGTTAAGCATCTATGACATTTAAGAAGAAATCCCTACTCACCCTACCATTCCGAAATAAAAATAACAATTTTTAAAAAGCATACAAGGGTGGCTCTATTAGTGCTTAATTTTAAGAAAACAAAGATAATCTATATTAATCTTATAAAAATAATAAAGCTAACTGGGGGGGGGGGGGAGTAACTTAATGCCTCAGCAAATCAATATAAGTAATTCAATGGAAAGGCACAAGTAAAACTAAGGAGAAAACCCCTAAAGCATAAACCAGATGTATGTGAATAATGGTTTATGGCAATTTGAGGATATATATGAGAGAAGAACAACACTTGCCAATAACCTAATTCAAGAATACTCTGAAAATATAATTGAAAACTTATTAATATCATTAATAAAAATGTTGTTAAAATTGTGATATTCATTCATGTTCAGTAACCACCTATTTAGTCTCTTTAGTATATGTGAATAAAGATAGGCAAATTAAAAGTGAAGGTAAGAAATTTGGGCATAAGTTATTGATAATATATGGAAATGGAATAATGTTTTAATAATATAGGTATAATTACAGGTGGCAATACGTTATGTGTTGATTCCCATTTTCCAATGTCATCTTTAAAGGAAAGGAACTGAGGAAAATTGTACTGAAACTATAAATAGCCAGTATAGCCTGAGAAAGGAATGGAAATTACAGGAATTCAGGAGGGATTCAGAACTATCAAATGGTACCCTAGTGATACTAGATTAGAAACACACCTTTTGAACAGGAACTGGCTCAGACTTGGTTGTAGCAGATGCTCTAGGGGTAAAAAAGAGAAAAGGGGGAAAAAAAACATGAGTTTTTACAAACTTGCAAACTTATTAATGATATTTTTATTATTATGAATCTAAATCTTGTTACACATGTCAAACCTTAATATGTGCTAAACCATCAGAATTTATAGTTTCATAATTCATGGTTTTGACTATTTACAACTACTAAAAATTTCATGTAACTCAAAATACTGCAAGATCCAAACCCCTTACACACTAGGTATTCATTAGTTCTTTACACACTCAGATGAGGAGACAAACACCAATCCTGTTTGCCAATGAACTCATGTTTCATCTTTAAATAAAGGTTCTTCCTTATCCAAAGGGGAAAAGTGTAATAAACAGAGTTTCAGATCCTTGAGTGGTTCCTGAAACATCCCATCTGAATCGCTACCTCCAATACTATCTGCCTTTTCTCCCAACATCCTATGTCTATAAGAAATTGGGTCTCTTTCAGAAGATACTGAATAAATTCTGGTTAAATTGGGTCAACAAATGAGTATATTTATTTTGTATTTACATTCTTAAATGCTTATGCAAGTTAATTTACTTGTTATGCTAAAACTAAACTGGAAGTTCTTCCCTTGGGTTATGATTTCAGTAAAGGCGGTGACCACATCCAGTGCCTGGCATGTGACAGACAGGTCATCAGCATTAAGTGTGGAAAGGAGAGAACAAGGAAAAAACAAAAATCCATGCATAGAACTTGACTATTTCTAAATTCAAATTAATTATTTTTAAAATACGCTTTTTGTATCATTACTGGCCCTTTGATTAGTGTGGATTAATAGTAACCACAATTGATTTAGAGCAATGATCTCACACAGTTATGACAAATAACCAAAGTGGCAATTATCATTATCCCCATTTTTCAGATGAGGAACTTCAAAGTCAGACAGAGTAAGTAAATTACTTACTAGGACAGATTAAGGCCAACAGTTCTTATATGTTACAATATATTGGCTATTGTCAAGGATAGTAACTTAATGACTGGGGAAGTTTCTAATGATTTAAAGGCTATTTACCCAGTATTAAGGTACATATCATGGTTAATAATGCCAGAAGCAGCTGGGCTCCTCTTATATCACACAAGCCTGAGGATAAGACATCAAGTACAGAATTTAAGAAATGTAACCTCTGCAGGTAAATAATGTAAAAATTTTAAACAAACCATGGTATCATTTTACTTCTAGAGATAACATACCATCAACAGAAGATGCGAGCACAGGATATTTGGTCTCTATGAGCATGAACTCCTAATAACATTTCTAGCAGCAGCTGAATTTTCCAATAACTAATTTGGTTAGCTAGGGCAAGCACTGACTGAAATATTGGCTAAACTAAGGAGAGGCCATCATGGATGCTGACATTTGATTACTGCTATACAAAATTATACTCTGCAGTTGCGTAACTTTCCATGTGTACTCTCAAACAGACTTTCCATTTGTACTCACAAATTTCTCTTTTAACTTATAGGGTTATTAAAACAAGCAAAGGGAGTAAGCTCAAGGACAGAACAGTGGAATTTTCCTCTCATTGAAATTTCACAATAAGATGTAAATCACAAAGGATCCATGTATTAAAACCACCGAAGACATTATTTATTGGCAGGGTGCCATAACAGGGAGAAGGGTATGTCCTCTTTCATCTGGACGCTAAAAGGTGCATGAAGCTCTTCTCACAACATAAAAACAACTTATAAAGAAGAACATGTTTAATAGTCACTGTGTTTCCAAACAGAATAAAATGTATATATCCTATGTCTATGAAAACAAACCCCTTAGTTTTTTTCTAGATGTTTGTTCTTATTTATACAGTGTTAGCACCAGCAACAGCAAAAGCCACAGAATGGCTAGTTTTCGTTAACTTTGTAGTTCAACCTCTTATTTTGTTGAAAAAGCATAGAACAATAAATAATGAATCCTTGCACACTTTATGGATTGAAAGTTCTACAAAACTACTGCTTGAAATTTTGAACTCCGAAAAAAAATTTTTTAATCTGAAATCTGAATGTTTGCCCTGCTTGGCTTCTGATAAGGTCCCACAAGTGCAGTGACATGAACTAAGACAAGCAGTTAGAAAAAAAGAGGCAACATGCCTTCAAATCCCAGGATTGAGTCCATTACACATTAAAAACACAAACATTTTAAAGGGAAAAAGTAGGCTGGCTTATAATTAAATGTCAAATAAAACAGCTGACAGTAGATGCAATAAAAATTAGCTCTGTTGGTTTAAATATTTAAATAACCACCAAATGAGTCATAGAGTCATTGAAACTTAGAAGGTTCCTTAGAATTACTTTATCACATGTCAATAAAGCATTCATCTGATCTCTGTCTGGATATTTACAGGAGCTCACAATTTAAGTCACGTAATTTTTTAATGCTTCTGTTTAAAATGGTCTTCATTTTTGTGTTTACTTTGCTTTTTGGTAAACAGAGGAAGTCAACCTGTCCACATTAAAAATATTTGAAAAAACATTTTAAACACACAGTATATGTACATAAAATCTATAACCTGCATTAATTACATTTTAAAAGACCATGTAGATTTATGTAGTAGGCTACATATCTTATATTTAAATGTACTTGCATACTCTATGACACAAATTATGGTGGTTCACAAAATTCAGAACACATGACAAATGAAATATGCAAAATTAATAAATAGCAATAACACTAGGTTTTTTTTTAAAAATCAAACTTTACTAAAATCACAGAATAACAAAATAAAAAGATCATCACCTTTTACTTTCAATGTGTAGAGATTTTTTTTAATGTTAATATTAATACATAATGCTTGTGAGAATATTCTGTACACTGCTGGGAGAACTGTGTATCATTATCTTTCTTTTGGAAAATAATTTGGCAATTAGTTTTAAAAAGCCTTGAAGAAAACTCATGCCTTCTGATATGTTAATCAATTTCCGGGAATGTATCATAAAGGAATAATCTGAAATATGGAAAAGACTTTATGTGTGAAGATATTTGTTCCCTATAATGTAACTTATAATAGTGAAAAATGGGAAACAACCAATTAAATATACAATGAGAAAATGGTTAACTGTAATATAACCACAAGATGAACCAGTATGTAATGATTAAAATCACTCTTAGAAAGAATTCTGAGATGCATGTTAACATGCTCACTTTATGATGTTAAGTGAAAAAAGGAAGCTATAATAGAGCTCCTACAACATGATTAGTGCCTGGAAAAAAAGTGGATGGAAACACATCAACATTTTAATAGACGCTCCCTATGAATAATATTTGTTTTGTTTCTCTTTTGTGTGTGTTGTCCATGTTTTATATTACAAATATATGCTGCTTTTTATAATAAGAAACACTATTTCTCAAAGCATGCCTCATGGAAAACTACTTTGCAAAACACGAAAAAAAAAAAAGGTTCTATTATCAATGATATCTGGAAAGCTTGAACTTAAAGTTACATAAGCATCTTTCCACAGGATTTCTCAGAGCCTTTAAATGTCCAAAGAAAAAAATACTGTGCACTGTTGTCCACACCCATTTGAAGAATGGAATACTCATTGATTTCGAATACTCATTTATTTAGAAAACCCTTTTCAAGACTGGAGATAGGAAGGGGGGAAAAAAAACCCTCTGGGAAACACTATTTTAAAGAAAGTGAATCTCTATAAGCCTGAATTGTTTTCTTAAGTCTCCTACACGTGGCTAAAATTAAGAGGAATAAATATTACAATCCGTAAAGTCCTCAAAACTTTTAGTTATACAGAGTATCTTTCTTATCAAACTAGTTCTTTCTTGACCTTTGTTGAATAAATTACCCCAAGACTATGAGCATAATTTAATCAATGTATATATTGATTATATGTTATATGTTATATGTCCCTGAGGAGAAAATGCTAACATATGAAAATGGATAACTATTTCTCAAAATTTTGTAGTTGTCTTTTTTTTTAAGAAAAATATTATATTGAGCATCTGTTCCTTTACTTTAGAAATGCCATAAAGTCCTTAAACGTGAATAGTTTTAAAAAGACTTTTAAATAAAGTTTTAAAAACTGAGGTATAATTATTAAAAATTGTTCCTACGTTTCTCTCTTCAAATCCTGGGAAACATGGGATAATACATCTCCCTTTCAGCCACAGTAATCGGCACAGGTCACTTGTGTGTGGTGTGTGATCCTGGCAATGGCTTCGTGCCATGGGCTCAACAATTTGCTTATTGTTCTCTCTTCCCTCAGTGCGAAGCCGCCGTACAGGAGCAGGCCATGACGGTGAGAGCCCAGTGCTTTGGCCCAGGACTATCCTCAGCTCATGGAATCCAGAGAACAATGCTGTCAGTGTGGCTACAACAATCTATTTGGAAAGTTGACTGATTCTTATAAGAGCAGTATCCAAAATAAAAATCCCTGATGCATTACAACCAGTTTCAGAACTGCTGACTGAACAGTTGAAAGGAATTCTAGGTTATAATAGATTGTATTAGAAACCAAAATTGGGATGTTCTGGTTAGAACAATGTATAGGAAACATATACAGTAACTCTTATCAAGGATAAGATTCAAAGGAATCAATCAAAACGACATCTTAGGAAAATGGTGTTATAATAATGGTGTTATATTAAAGTTATATTCTTCACTAGTCAATGCATTTTCTAATACTGCTTTATAAAAATAAGTTTTAATGAACAAAGTAGCTAATGAAAGTTCACAGTAGTGTTTAAAAATGAGGAATTAAGCAACAAAACCAGACTGATAAAGATTATTCACATTACTCATTACGTGTTGGCGACTCTTTCAACCATATCTAATATACTTAGCTCATAAGCAATCATACAGAGGAGAGGGGGATTTTTAGTTCATCTTCTGTGAGATGAGCTCTATCTAAGTTTCCCACAGCATGGCCATCTTCGGGCTCAGTGACCTCAGGACCCATAAACACTAGGGTAGATCATTAATCACTTTAATTGCAAAGTTGTCAATTTGCAATAACAAAGCAACTCC